TAGTAGCTGAATTGTGTGACAGAGTGGTAGATAGTGTTAGAATCGTTGACGGTGCTGGGTTGACTCGGAACGATTCGTCTGCGTTCAATGAGTTCGATTTTCGAGAGTGCTGCATTCTTCCTAGAACCAGAATTGGGGATGGTAGCCGGTCAAAGTCTGTTTCGAATGCTGCTGCTGGTGCTGGTAGTGGATGTGGGGGAAACGGAATAAAGGGGTTAAGGCCTCCCGTGCTTAAACTGCCACTAGCAATGAGGCTGCCAGTGATAGATGGAACATGCTCGACGTGGGACCTACTTAGAGATTTTGCACCTCAGGATAATGGATTGGATCCTATAAGTTCTGATGATGAGGAAGATGAAGGAGGATGTGAAACAGAGGAAGCGGTTGTCGAAGAAATTTGCTTGAAGGCAGTGGAAGAGGAGACTGCAGTGTCATCTGAAACCTGTTCCTTTTACACTGCAAATGATAATGATTTTTCCGGAACCACAATGAATATTACTTGGTGGGAGAAAGGTCAGCTCCTGGGCAGTGGGTCCTTTGGATCCGTGTATGAAGGGATTACCCAGTAAGTACTAATATGCTGCCAGTTCAAAATGAATATTACTGCTATACCAAACAGCCCATAATTTGGGATGATATGTGGAACACTTTTTTTGTTATTAATTAACTCATTTTTCTACAGTGATGGATTGTTTTTTGCCTTAAAAGAAGTTTCGTTGCTTGATCAAGGAAGTGAGAGTATTTTCCAACTTGAGCAGGTGAGTAGTTGTTTGTTATGTTCTTTGACAAATTTTCTATTTCTGATATATTTGTAAATATATATTTTCTTGTGCTGATTTATTGTTTTTTAAATTTTCTTTCCAGGAGATTGGTCTATTAAGTCAGTTTGAACATGAAAACATTGTTCAGTATTATGGCACTGACAAGGTACGCATCTCCTGCTTTTAGATTTGGTAAAATTGGATTTAATGTGAAAATCTGATCCAATTCACTTGTTATAGGTCATGGGTCTAAAATATCAATCTAGAATACGATATGACTCAAATTGAGATTTTCTGAATTCAACTGGAATAGGTTTGGGTTGGGTTGAGTTGGCTCAACCCGACTAAAATTAACTAAATTTTTTAAATTTAAAATATACTTCTAATTTTAAGTTTTAAATCAAAATAATCAATCTCGTACTGACATACATACTAGTTTTGTTATTGAAACAGTACATACCAGACACAAGAATTTTTTGCATACTGTTTTGAATTTATCGCTATATATATTTTATAAATTAAATATCAAATTTTAAAATAATTATAAGAGAAACTAATGTCTAAAACCATCATATTCTTATAAATTGAAAACAAATTTAAAATGACCTACTTTATAAAACATCCATAATTTTTTTCTTTTTTTTTTGAACATTAAAATAATATTATGAAGCATAATAGTGTTTTGAATTTAATGTTATACAATTCGCAATATAAAATACTTCTACAAGCGAAGGAACCATGTCTTTTAAGTACAACAAGAATGCAAAAAACAAGCCAAAACATTGTTGAGAAGAGAGAGCAACAACCGGCGAGTATTGAGAATTAGAAGTATGAATCTCAAATTGTCAAATTAGTCCCTCAACTTCTAATATATGTATATTTTTTATCCCTTCACTTTAAGTTAAGGGATTAAAAATGTGCATATTTTCACAAACTTAATGGAGTAATTGACAGAATGGCTAAAAAAATGCATTTTTCATAGCTGAGGACTAAAAGAGTGCATAAAAAAGTTAAAGGATGAAAATTATGCAAAATATTAAAGTTGAGGACCAAAAATAGCATTTAACCTTTTTTAAATTTGAATTGATTTGTACTGATAAATTTTTGGTGTATCAGCCGGTATGCAAAATACTGGTCGGTACACCAAAATTTAACCGAAATGGTCGAAATTTGACAAAAATGAAATTAAACCTTGTACCATTTTGGATTAATAAAAAAACTGATACTGACCGTCCATACAAGCCAGGACGAACAATATCAACTTCTTTGTTTTAAATATAAGATGAAATTAAATACTACAAAGTAGTGATTATTTATTAAATTGTTAGTGTTAATATTAATGTGGGAAAGGTTAATGCTGTTTATTCCATTCGATACTTCTGTGAAATGAGCTGTAAAGAATTGTCAACAAGGTGCCTAGTACATAAGGCCTTCTGCTCTATTGATGGTGCATGTGTTACCAAGTCATTTATGTTTACATTGGAACTTTTTATCCCAAACTTATTAGAATTTTCTTAGGATACAAGATCATAAAAATTAGACTGCCAATACCTTGCTAACTTCAATTCAGTTTTATGAATCCATATACTAACTCTTTTTTTCTTCACTTTATGATCTTTCTAGGATGAATCTAAATTATATATCTTCCTTGAGCTAGTGACACAAGGCTCCTTATTAAAACTCTATAAGAGGTATGATCTTAGAGATTCTCAAGTCTCTTCATATACAAGACAGATTCTGCATGGACTGAAGTATCTTCATGACAAAGATGTGGTTCACAGGTAAAGTGTCTGTGTATTAAATATGAAATTCATATGACTTTCCAATAGTTGAATATCAATTGCTTAGTATGCTGAAAGCAAAAATTTCAGAAATGTATGAAGCTTTAATTGCCTGACAAAACGTTTTGGTTTCTTTTTCTCTTTTGGTGATTTAAAGGAGGAACAATATGCATTGCTCGTTCTAGTGTGGCAGGAAAATATATTTATATTTTTTCAAATCTTTTCTCCATTTTTTTAATTATGTTTATGCAACAAGGTTGGACATAGTCTCTATACAACTAACATTTGTTCAATTTTGTATTGAACTGGCATTTGTTTCCTTTAGTGGATTAATGGGCACTATACTAGTACGTGAGTTTGTCTAAGCTCAATTTTGTTCTTTCCTTGTATCAAAAGGGATATTAAATGTGCAAATATATTGGTGGATGCAAGTGGATCTGTGAAACTTGCAGATTTTGGATTGGCAAAGGTTTTGTTCCATTC